ACTTTCCTTTCAATTGAATTTCTATTAAAGGCGTAGCAACGCGCGCTTGGTACAGTTTACCATAGCAATCATTTCGTAATTATTGTGTATTTTTCCTGTTTTCATAGCTTTTCACTTGGGTAATTTTTCCGACTACTTCGATGTACAAAGCAAGGTTTCTATTTTCTTTCTTTTCAATTCAGCCAAACTATGCCACAGCAACGCGTGGCCGGGTACAGCTAGTTTCAAATAAAAGCTAAAAAGCGTGACATCATTACCTGATGGGGCCGCGGCCCACATTGACCGAGAACACTCGGTGCCAAGATTGGCAATATTGGCCCACTCAGTCATCTGCGCACCCATAAATCACTCTCTACTTCACATAACAGTGCATGTCACTCTTCCCAGGTCGACCCAGTCTTGAGTGGGTACCGGGTGCAGTCCCGGGAAGTAAAGGCGGTCTGCATGATGCTGACCACATCACCCATCTTGTGCCGATTGGTCTATAAAATATAGGTCTAGCCCTGTATGCCCTATACGCCTAAAAGCGTGGAAAAGGGTCCTTAAATTTTTTTTTTATGTCACTATGTCAATTGATCCAACGAAAGATGTTTAGGTATGAACACCCACCCCCCCCCCCCCCCACCCACCCCCCCCCCCCCAACTCACTTCCAAACTTGTAAAATATTATTTGCTACGGAAACCTGCAGGAAAGGATGCCATTCCGGTAAACAAATGAATGAAACGGTGTGTGGTCACAGGTTGCATGTATGACGTTTGAAAGTTAAATGCATCCGAAAACAAATGTCTGTCAGGAAATGATGATCATAAAATGGGATGAATTCAAAGAAGTGAAGAAATAGGGCAACCACTAGTATCAACAGCACATCGATGGGAATTAGAGCGATTGAGGAAGCGATGATGTTCAAGAGAAACAAAAGGGCGAAAGTTGATGAGATGAGCCTAGGGTGAGGGACAGAATTCCATCCATGCTATCAAAGTGATTTTTAAAAAAAAAAACGTTAGTTGCGTATCCTTTACAGGACATCGCAGAACCAACACCGGCATTTTTTGGCTGTTGTGGTTTTGTAAGTAAATTTACGCGCAGTAGTTTTTTTTTTCGGCTCTGTGGCTAAGTCGATGCGAACGCTTCGTAATGCCGGGATGCCGGGTACGATCCCAGCTGCGGGCCATGCGCCTTGCGTTGGTTTCGATAGTTGTATCAAAGAAGCAGACCGTCCGGATATCAATGGCAAACTACTAGACGTAAATTTGCCTAGAAAACTACACAACAGCCAGGGGCTGTTGGGGTTGGTTCTGCAACGTCCTATAAAGGATACGCAACTAACTAACTATCTAGTTTGCCATTTTTTTCCATACGGTCATCTTCTCAATACGACTGTCAAAACGAACGCATGACGCAAGGCCCGCAGCTAGGATCAAATCCGGCACACCGGCATTACGAAGTGAGTTCGCAACGCCCAAGCTACAGACGCTGATGGAATGATTACACAAGATATATTGGAACGGAGAAATATACTCCGAGCCGTATGTGAAATAAAGTTTCACAGTAGGACAGTAAATGAGCGAATTCGTTCTAAGACGAGATTTAACTTCTGCAACTTTTATTGAGAGGTCATTTTGAACTTAAATTAGTCATAAGAGTGGACTAATTATGGGTTTTCTTTGAAGTCAGAATGCATCTATAAAACTTTTTTTTTTAAAGTTAGTTGCATATCCTTTACAGGACGTTGCAGAACCAACCCTAACAGCCCCTGGCTGTTGTGTGGTTTCTCTAGGCATTTTACATCCAGTAGTTTACCATTGCTTTCTGTATAAAACTGTAGACACTTTAAATATCTTCAAAGAATTGGTTGCGAAATATTTAGTTTGATGTTCTAATTACACTTTCTACCCCCTGTCATCAATGTCACTGGATATTCTTAATTTTACTAGCAGAATTTGTAACTGGCAGTGTTCGGTAAGAAAGGGAAGCAATATCATGTTTTACCAATGCGGGGTAAATGTTTTATGACAGGTAAACATCTGTTCTTTTCAGGGCAGGTAGTTTACATAAAAGCAGGTACACTGCTGTTAAATTCTCTCATTTTCTCCTTCTCTCTCTCTCTCTCTCTCTCTCTCTCTCTCTCTCTCTCTCTCTGTGTATTTGTGTGTGTGTGTTTGACCGCGTGTGTGTCTATGTGGCTGTATGTATGTGTCTGCATGTTTGTCTGCGTATGTATGTGTGTGTGTGTCAGTGTGTGAGCACAAATGTATATATGTCTGCTGTGTGTTTCCCTGTGTGTGTTATATGTAAATGTCTGTGTGTGTCTGTGTCTGTATTTTTGTCTACGTGATTGTGTGAGTGTATGTGTCAGTGTGTTTGTCTGAGGGAGTGTCCATGTGTGCATGTGTGTGTCTCCACGCATGACTGTATGTATGTCTGTATGGGCTCTTCTCCGAATAACGTTCCCAATTGATCTACGCAGAAAGTAAACCCTAACAGAGCCTCATTACGTCCTACCCTACAAAGATTTTAAAGTTGTAGCTCGGAAAATATAAGGAACGAAAAGTATGAGGAAAAGGTCGAAGTCTACTACTTACGGACAGTTAAATCCTTTATATGTGAAAATTGTGGCACAGAAGTTGCGAATAGTGCTCGAAAATCTGTTCTTTATGGCTGTCCGCCATTTCAACAGGTCGCGGCTTGTCCGCGATTCTCGTTCCGGGCGAGACATAATCAATAATGCGCGTTTTAATGTACAGCTAAATCAGAGGCACACCTTCAGTCCAACTTACATGTCTGGAAGGAAGAGCTTGAAAAGAAAGGGATGACCATCAGTATCTCCAAAACTAAAACCATGGTGATCTCAAGAGAGGAGAAGAAACACCAGATCATGATGGGACAGTATGCATTGGAGCAAGTTAACCAGTTCAAATACCTTGGAGTTGTACTAGACCAAAATGGAGGCATTAAGACTGAGCTGGCTACACGAAAAGCAGCTGCTGGGAGACTCTTCCAGGCCATAAACCGAGGGTTTCTTAGCAAAAGAGAAATTGGCAAGAGGACGAAAATGGCTGTTTACCGCTCTACCTATGTACCAGTCCTCACCTATGGGTGTGAATCATGGGCAATGACAACAGCTCACAGAAGCCAGCTGCAGGCCTAGGAAATGAGATACCTGAGAAAGGTGGTCCAAGTGACAAGAAGGGACAAAGTCCGCAATCAGACAATACGTCAAGATCTTGATACCCAGCCCTTACTAACCCGAGTAGATCAGTCACAGTTACGATGGTTTGGACATGTATGCAGAATGGGAGAAAATCGGCCACCATGGCAAGCATGGGAGGCTAAGAACCAGGGAACCAGACCTCCAGGACGACCCAGGGTGCGCTGGGAAGACAACATCCGACAGTCCCTAACTGACAGAGGACTGGAATGGAACAAAGCCAGAAAGAAAACTGCTGATAGAGACGTCTGGCGATCTCTCTGGCAAACCTCTACACCCCAAGGTAGAAGAGGAGCGACTAAGTAAGTAAGTAAGCATGTCGCTTCGGGACAACTTCAAACCAGCAGCCGCCACTATGGCGCTCCACTATCCCGACAACCCAATGACCGTGGCAAATGCGACCACGCTGGCAGTTGCGACGAAAGAAGTAGCTCATGACTTTTTTCCTGCGACTATAGTGCCACCTTCGATAGTATCCCTGGCGCCGCTATGCGCGGTGCGGAAGAGGCTCAACTAGCTGGTTAGGACTCACGAGCAAATACAATGGAGGATGCTGCAAAAGAAGCGGTAGCTGCTGCTCGTGAGTCCCAGCCACCTAGTTTAGCGGGGGATACTCTCGGAGGTGGCACTATAGTCAGCGAAAAGTGGTCTGCAACTTACATATAACTGTGGCCCTGCCGTAGGATAGCGCTTTTGGGAGTATTCTTGCGTGTCGCTAATTTTTCGTCCGTAGTTAATCCTAGTTTTGCCGCCGTTTAATTGTCGTAAAAAAATCCGTTGTGTTTCGCGAAAATGTCGTGCGCAATTAATCCTACTTTTGACGCGGTTGATTCGCGGCAAAAGAAATGCAAATTTTAGATATGACTGAGGCTCTGTTAGGGTTTACTTTCTCTGTAGATCATTTGGGACCGTTATTCAGAGGATAGCCGCCTGTCTGCCTGTATTTATGCCTGTATGTTTGTATGTGTGTGTGTATGTATTTATGTCTGTATGTCTGTCTGTCTGTCTGTCTGTCTGTCTGTCTGTCTGTCTGTCTGTCTGTCTGTCTGTCTGTCTGTCTGTCTGTCTGTCTGTCTGTCTGTCTGTCTGTCTGTCTGTCTGTCTGTCTGTCTGTCTGTCTGTCTGTCTGTCTGTCTGTTAGGCGCATAATTCATAAGTCAACATATAAGATACGCACCCGAACACGCACGTATACCTATATAACATATTGTTATTTTCTCGCTGTTTTAGTTGTTATCTAATCCGTATTTGCGTTCACTTTGAAATTGCCTGCACTTATTGTGTGCCATTATTTATTACCCTCCCATGCCATCTTAGCGTGCCAGCAGACACCAGTGATATCTGCTAGCTTGTTGTGCAACCACTCATGAGCCCGGCAACCGGGTTCTAAAATTGAAGCTTCCATTTCGCTACCAAACACCTACACGCGTCCACAGTTGCACACATGAACTTATGTACTCACGCACACATTTTTGAAAGGGAAAAAAAAGAGACTTTGCTAGGCAACTCATTTTCGCCAGGTATGTCAGTTGCCGAGTTCGCAACAATTCAGGAGATTTCGGCTGCTGCTCTGAGGAAGCTGATTGGCTGATGTTGAACGTCTCACGTGCACAGACAGTGGCGCAAACACCGGGGTATAAATATGTGAGAAAAATTAAAACTTACCTCGCCGAAACCCATGTCTGTCATTAGAACTGGGACCTCCATTACACTTCTTTCGTAGCTGCCCTTGGTCCCGGCTTGTACCATTCTCATTTCATCGCGTCTGAGAACTAACACAAGGCCTTCACAATGTCCGAGCGTCCAGAAATCCCAGCAGGATACTTGGGAAGCCAACCGAAGTTTTCTGAGCTCCGACTTCAGGCACTGACCCATGACAACCCAGAACTCACTGTGGATCAGAACAGTGAGCTAGAAATCAAATTTAAAGCACCCAAGCCAGTTAAGGTAAGTTGTAGTAAATCAGGTAGTTGTTTTCTAACCTTGCCAGTAGATAGATCCTCATGTGTATTACTAAGCTTTATTCATAAGCTTTATTTATAAGCAAAGAATAGTAACACTGAGCTTTGTCAGACATGTGGTAAGAAACGACTAAGAGTAGTGTTGGGCTGCGTCATCCTACAATAGACTCTATCAACAAAAGCCAAATAACCATCAGCCTAGTTAGTTTGAGGCTCTGTGTTCCATTGGGGTGAGGGGATTCGGGACAGAGCAGCTGAAGCAGCACGGAAAGGAGGAGAAGGAGGATTGGACGAGGAGGATAACCAGAACAAAAAGAAGTCAATAGCAAGCGTTCTGCCTGCCAAATGGTTGTGTGTCAGAATCCTCATGGAAACAAAAGTGGTTTTTTTTTCTTCCGGAAAATGTGCATGGGGTCGTCTACTTGTCCAGGTTTTGACCATTGATCTATAAATAGATGACGCAAGCACTCTTTTAAAATACACCTAAAAAATAAATAAATATATAAATTACTCCTTCTTTTTCTTCGTCTTCTTTTCTTCTACCATTTACCTAAGCGAGGTTTTCGGGGAAAAGGGGGGGGGGGGGGGGGGGGGGGGGTAAGTTTCGTTTATACGCTTTTCCCAGTGCATTGTAAAAGTTGGTGTTCATTTCTGTTAGGTTGCTCCTGATGGTGTCGCTCCATGTCTTGCGTGGTCTTCCCCTTGCTCTGTGATCATTATATTTCTTTAGCTTGGCCCTATGGGGCAATTGGCACCAGAAAATTCTCGTCAGTGACCAAACCATCTCATTTGTTGTTCTTTAATGAACTGTATGACTGTAAATTACATAATACAGTATTACATAGAAAATGATCGTTCACGTTACTAATATACTTTCTTTGTGATGAGAAATGATTCGCCATGTAAAAGCTTCATAGATTCCAGAAGCTCTTCAATACCTTTTTAGCCCTGAACTTTATTTTGAGGAAGCATTACCTGTGACATGCTTTATAGAAGCCTGAAGTTTTTTGTTTTTTTTCCAGTAAAGTATACACACAAAAGCACCCTTTCATGGGTTTAGCGCATCAGGCTTGGAATATAGTGTAGAAGTACAGTTTTATTTACCAAGTCGACACTTGATGTCAAAATTACAACATCCTTCACTTTTCAGGACAATTACTGGTACCGGTTGTATCTCAGACCCACTTGGGTTGCGTTAGATTTGTTATATAGAGCCAGCCCGTTGAGGATTTGAACTCAAGTCCTTCGTGTCGGCTTTGCTAGCGTACTTGACATATAGGACTAGACTTATATCTTATAGACCAATCAGGACTTTATGTGTGATGTGGTTAGCATCACACCGGCCGCCTTTACTTCCCAGGATTGCACCTGTACTTAATCGAGGCAGGATCCACCTGGGAGTCGAGGTCATTAAAAAAAAAATGTCCGGCTCCGCCATGACCTGAACGACGACTTGTGATCCGCAGGCAAGCATCTAGCCACTACACCACGGCGATTCCCAAGCCAATAAAATCCCAACATTGTTATTGCTAACAGAAACCATAATGGTATTGTTGATAGTAGACACGCTTGTTGGTTCAGTCGTTTGTGTTCAATCCTTCAGGGTTTCCTAAGGCTGGCCTTGTTTATATGACTGGTTAGTTGCGTATTCTGTACAGGACGTTGCAGAACCAACCCCAACAGCCCCTGGCTGTTGTGTGGTTTTTCTAGGCAAATTTACGTCCAGTATTTTGCCATTGCTGCCTGGACGGTCGGCTCTCTTGATACCACTGTCGAAACCAACCCAAGGCGCATGGCCCGCTGCTGAGATCGAACCCGGCATCCCGGCATAACGAAGCGTTCGCATCGACTTAGCCACATAGCCGACTGTTTATATGACTATTAAATATTTATCTGAGAAGTCAGTTAAAAGAGGAAAGTTGCTGTGTTCATACTTCATCATGTCGGGACCTTCTCTCTTATAAGTGACGATCTCCATACAACAGTAAAAAAAGACCATTTTCCACGCCAACAGGCGAAAAGGCTTATGCGGTTAGACCTATGTTTTATAGATGACCAATCGTCACTCGGTCGGTGTTGTGGTCAACATCTCACCGGCCAACTTTACTTCCCAGCCTTTACATGGCACCCATTTTAGGCTAGGTCGACCTGAGAGTTAAGGTCATTTCTGGTTAATTTTTTTTTTAAAGTCTTTCTCCGTCAGGACCTGGATCCACGACTTTGGGATCCGCAGGCAAGCGTCTAGCCACTACACCACGGCGGATCTCCTTTACAAAGATATCCGCCATTGACTAACTGACTGAATTTCTACCCCACTAGGACATCACACAAGCGATAAACACCCAATGACACAGTGTGCCACCATGTGAATGAGAATCGCCGTGCAGAGGTCCCAGAAACCGAGATCAGACAATTGGCCATATTTATGGCCTGCCTATATTGCGGCCCCTGGAAAAAGCCAGGGTGGGGCTTCAAATAACAAAAAATTTCGTCCTAAAAAGGACGAAACTGGATAGTTGTAGAATTATCTTTAGTTTTATCATCAGTGTGTCTATGGCAATGACGTTGAGCAGGACTGCAAGATGGCGGAAATATGTTTTTAAACTATTTGTTTACGTTTATGTGTTTTCAATGGATCAGCATCATGGCACGCTGTGTAACCCATAAGTGCTCCGTTCCACTTCAAACTCATTTGAGTCAGAGTCTGAAATTCTCAGCGCAGTGCACGCAGCTGCACCGGAGAGGGTCCTGAAACACTTTGGTTAAATGTTTAACCCCAGATTTTGCCCGGGCAGCGCCGTTTGGCTACTCTTTTTCGATTTATAACTGCCAAAGTATTTTTTTACGTGCAAAATAATACACACGGGCGTCCAGTCTTACTACACAGAGACTAGAGGAAATTACTAGAAGTACACGTGAAAAAAAATCTCAGCCTTCACCGGGGTTGAAACCCGGGACCTCCAGCACCCGAAACGGATGCCATACCCCAAGACCACTCAGCTCCGAAAATGTTATTTTTGGTTGCTGTCTCCACAAGGAAAAATGGCTGTAGCACATATACTGCTATTTTTGGGAATATTAAGTAGTGAGGCCCCAGTCTCTCCCACGGTGTGATTTTCGTACCTCTCGCACACAGTAGAATGACAGGAGAGCAGTTCTTTTCTAAGCCGACCGAGGAAATACAACACTGTTACGCAGAGAATTGGATTGTGAAGATTTCACAAACCTCTATGACCGAGAAATTTATTTTGTCTTCCTCTTTTACCGCTTCAGGTGTGGGAGACAAACTGGGTTCTGTTTATAGCTCTTCTGGCCGCTTCGACCATAGATACATGGTACTGTTGTAGAGTTTTTCTGTTGCAATCTTTCTAGTTTGTTTTTGGTTCTACCTCGTGATCTACATCGCTCTCCTATTTTGGAGTATTATTTGTAAAGTTTGGCATTCATCTTCATCAGGTGCCTTGTCGACTGGCATGGGCGATCATGCCTCTCCATAATCTGCGATCCCCTGCAGCATGTATCAGTTCGTGTGCCGACACACCTCCATGCCATGCAACAAGACTGTCAAGCATCTTCCCTCGTTGTCTTCCTCTATACCTCCTTCCACAGATCTTTCCAGTGGTCACAACATGTTCCATTTTTCCTCTTCTCATAACATGGCCGAAAAAATGATGACTGTCTCCTTCTGATGTCTGTGATAAGTTGTCTTCGGGCTCCCGCCTCTTTCAAAACCCCTTGGTTGTTCTTTTTGGCGTTACAATGCACTAAAACGGGGCAAGTCATCATATTTGCTGTCGTTGTATGTAATGTAGAAATGGTTTTGTGCCGACTTTTTTTCTTATGACCACATTTCTGTTTTTAGTCTCTTCTGGTCACTCCTTCTTGCAGCCCTTCGTGAACATCCCCCCACCCCCACCCCCCACCCCCCCCCCCCCCCCCGTTGTTATTTGATCAGTATGACGTGGTCCTGGGGTTTTGCTTTGAGATGCAGACACAGAACACTGCAAAAGTGCACTAGTTGTATCCCATACATCACAGCAGCAGTTTTCACCTTGACATATGATTTCCATAGAACCGCTAAAATCCAGACACGGCTACACCAGTACAACTTCTAAAAATCTCCCCTCTTGTGTGTTTTTCTTAAAGTCTATGCCATGCGGCGTTGGTAGTCATGTCTATCGACAACTTTCTATCTCGTGTACTGTCAGTCGTAGCTGACACAGAACAACCTCACTCAGTCTCCCTCTGCGTCTCTTCCCCTTGAGCTTTCTCACTGCCACGATGTAATCCAGCATTCTCCATCTCGTGACATGACCAAAGAATGAAGTTTGTCTCTGTCGGATATGGGCAGTCAGTTTCCTTCGTGGACAGTTTCTTTTAAGACATCTTCATTACTCGTTTTAATCTGTCTTGTTGACCACATCACCAGCTAAATGACAATCTGTGTTTAATATAAAATGTCTAATCACATATGCCCAATACGCCTAAAGATGTGGACTAAACAGTATCTGTCACGCTTACTTTTTCGTCATGTGGTCAAGGGTTCCATAATCGTCGATGGATGATTTTTTTTTCTTCTGAATGTTGGCCATATTGCCACAATTTAGAACAGGTATTAAAACTTTCCTATGAAATTAAGGTGGCCGAATTTTTGTTAATCACGTCACCTACTGAGCCCCGTTTATCACAGGTCCTTATTCATTTCAGAAACTCCCTTTATGTACTTGGTAATGGTGTCTTAAGCTTCACATCATAAGTTTTACAACTCATACATCTCGCGCAGCATGTTATAGTTGTACCCTTTTTTCGGTTCCTTTATGTGCCTCCGTACACAATTGAAAGAGTATTAAACTCACTCTCTGTACATTATAATTATAATTTCATTTGGAAATTACAGTACATTTCTTGGGTTTGGAACTGCCTCAGATCGAACTGTTTTCAGCAGTGACCTTGGCTTACAAGCTGACCCAGCCTGTAATGGGTACC